AATACGTTGATTGGTAATGTCGGTTGCATATTGCAGTTTCATGGAGTAACAGCTTCATCAAGATGTCGGCTGTGGTTTGTATAATTTAATTTGTTTGTTCTCATCTCAAGAATAGGCATTCTTCATTGCCCATTCAATTTCGTGCTGAAGATTGGACCCGGGAAAGATTTGTCCCTACGAGGTTGGCTTTGAAAGAATAAACACGTCAATGCGTGCTAGGCTTCTCTTAACGAACTAACGAACATTTATGACTGCCGACATTGCCTTGAACACTGAGGCCGAAATTCATCTGAGATCCTTACCAACGAGATTGTTTTAATAAGGACATGAGACTTCTAGCCTTAGTGGACTCAGATCGATGTGACTCATAGACCTCCTTCATCTACTACTTCGTTTATTCACTATCACTCGTACGTATGGCAGGGCAGAAAGATGTCTACACAGAAAGCGATTGCGAAAAGTGCTCCTGTAGATTCCCCCTGCTGAGACCTTTGCGAAAGAACCGTCACTTTGCTGGGTTCTGGATTCTTCTGGACACTTGAACTTCCAACGTCAGGGCCGTAGCAAAGGCAAATGACTACACATAGTATGGTCGTTGAACACTTGTCCCTACGAGAGTGGGCAAAATTCAGATTCCTCAGATTACATTCTACTGGTTACGACCGTCGCAACAGCGAGAATACAATCGTTGGACGTATCTAGCCTCTCTGCTCGAGTGCTTTTTGTGCAATCTGATAGAAAAGAATCTAATGTGAAAGGTCACGCGCCATGGATTTCGATTGATCCGGCAGTCCTCTAGGAACTTGCTGTAAAAAGTAGGTGGATTGTACTTCCCACACCGCAATGACGAGTCTAGATTCAAATGTCGGAGCGAACCTTAGATGATGCTTGTAGCGTCTTCACAGTCCACATCTTTGACAACTGAAAGGCATCTGACAGAGAGTAGTCTGTCCACCGGTTATGAATCAGCTCACAAAACCTCTTATAAACCTCTGTATGGAAGAAATGGAGTTGATACCAGTACCAAATTTACCACCTGAAGCACCAAGAAGGTTCTTTCGCTGATTTCATATATTAAGGTCTCTCCTACTCATCTGTCTGAAGTACAGTAATTGGACAATCTCGACCATGAGATAAGTCTTGGATTGTCAGGTTTACAATCGCCTGGCAGTCTGGAGCCTGATGAGGAAGTAGGAAATAGCTTCAGATTACTTCTGGTGTCTCCGGAGCAGTCTGATAGCTTGGATTACCACTTTTATTCTGCATTGGATTATCGAATTTTTCGTCCCCTCGCGTTCGAGTAGTATCGAACTGCATTCCTTTCACCTCTCTGAGCTCGCTTTCTGTCCTCTTGTAATGATGATGGTGAATGAAAATCAGAAAAACTAAAGCTCCACGCAACGTGATTATGTATCAGCTTAGATCTGAAAAGATGGAGCCACTGAAGAAAAGCTTTGATTCCTTTCCTGTCAATGTGAAGCGGTTGCTGTTCTGCGATCATTGAACAAAAGGAGAAAGAAGCTTCATGCAGACCATTGTTCGATTTCGGAACTCAGAAAGTGATACCACTTCGGTCCCTTAAAGGCGGGGGTTCAGCAGAAAGATTCTCTCTCTGAGGTGTCGCTGTACACACCGAAAGAACTGACACAACTAGTGCCACGACGACTACTCGAAGGGTCCCTGCCCTATCCATTCTATCGTCTAGATTGTGGATACAAGGTCACAAGCCGGCTGCGCTGTTATCTGTAGCCTCTTCGTCCATGCTTGCACAGTTCGATAGCTTCATAGCTTAGTGGTTCGATCTTGGTCCCTCAGTTGCTCAAATTCTGTCTCCTCAAGTAGGTATCTGACTAATCCATCGGTAGAGCCTGATGCTTTTGACGAGCGAGGTCGAACTGTCCGTGTCCCACAAAACACAAGACGACGATTTTCTTTACCTTTTGTTTGGACTGACTTGTTGACATTGCGCTTCCTTTATTGATAAGCTTAGCACCGCTCTCTAAGCTTAATCGAAGGTCAAACGGTTTGCACCATGCAACAGACAACGACCATTCAGTTTGACTGTGTTGTTTACCGTCGCAGGTCGCATATGAGAGTTGGTCTCCATAGACCTAATCTCTGCTTTCTGTACACAAGCGCTGAACTGCATCACATAGTTTTAGAGAATCACGAATGAATATACTCAATGTTTAGTCGCTTGTCTTCTGTGCCTAGAGATGATCACTTGCTTTTTCGCTCTGGCTACAGACTTCTTATCGTGGTTTGGAGTTCAATCCTTGTCTCCGCGGTCCACGTTGTCCATTTGAAACACAAGTTGTATACATGATGAGTCCATATCTTACAGGAACGTTTGGTCCACGGGTCGGGAAATTTGGACATCTAACTTCATTAATTTGTAGTTCAGTTGGCAGGTTTGAATGCCAAAATGGAGCTGGTTCGATCTTGGTTCCTCTCCTAACCCAACATTTGTTGCAACTTTAACAGTCAGATTGCACCATGACTTGTTCAGTATAATTCGTAGGTTCAGTACGTATCCCAATCCTCTAGATGAGGTCTATGGGCATTTCTAAGCACAGGATGGCATCCTGTGCTATGCTAAGAAAGGCCCATAGACCTAAGGATCTTGAACGTTAAGACAAGCCTTAAAGTCCAGCAAACGAGTTATGTTTTTCTGCTGTTATCTGCTAAATCACAGGCTTTGACTTCGTAGAATAAATGGAGAGCTGGCAACCATCGTTTGCCGGAGTCTTTGCTGAAGCGAACCAAAGTCAGGAGCCCTGCCAGACTAACCAAGTTTTATGAGATGTGGATGAAGCCCTGGGTTGTTGCTGCGATGTGTTTTGTGAGAACTACTGAATATCCAATTGAAGATCTGCCTGTCAACGTTGCGATGGATTTAGACAGAGGCTCCTGAACACTAAGCCTGTTTTTGTACATGGAATGGGAATGGCCTCATTAGGCAAAATCGAGAAGATTCTAACTGTAGCCTCTCATGAGCTGATAACATGTCAAACACGGAATTACACTGCACGTTCTCATAAGAGATGATATCTATCAATTGCGCATTTGTAAAGCCGACTACAATTAGTATAAATATACCAGCATGTTCCATGTTTGTCTTCAGTAGCTGTTAAGCTGTTAAGCTGTTTATCCGGCTGTGAGCTTATCTTTCGCGTGGGCGAGACTGCGGCTTCGAGCTCTAATCCGAAGGTCGTACAAAGTTTTCCCCATGTGCATAATATGTCCATCTCTTACTGATGGGGCCTCGAGCTTGAAGGCTATCCCTTTGTACATCCCAAAGGGCAGTCCCCTGATGACAGCATTTGAGCACTCCATGTTCACGTCATGCGTGTCAGTTTTCGAATCCGACTGCAAGGGACTACGAAGTCTATCAATGAGAGAGTCAGTAAGAGAATAATACATTTGGCCATACCACGTTCATGTGTCCTGTCAGCTAAATAGCCGACTTGCAGACGAAGGTTCTGTGGGAGATGAGTCAGTTGGAGAATAATGCAACCGGCAACTCCATGTTGAAGCCGTAGGCGGAGTCAGGTCTGAATTTCGAATAACATTTTCCATGTGTCTAGGTAGAAAAGTGGACTCCAAGCTTTTGAAACCTAGTGGCATCTCCTCAGAGTGTACTTGGATGCAATCATTTCCCTCCGCTAGAGAGGGAACTATCTGATTGGATTATAGTGTAGGTTAGTGGTTCAACTCCCAGCCTAGTTGGTCTAAAGCATGGAAGATGATGAGAAGGCCAAGAGTTGTGGATTACGTCCTCAGGTGGCGATGAGAGCTCGAGCTCTACGGTCTCGTGCATGTTTTCATGAATCGGTTCTTGAAAGCAGTGAGCGTAGCATGTGAGGAGGGTCTACGTAGAGGGAGCCCAAACGTCTTCTCGCGAGAACAACCGAAGAAACTCCTGCTCAACAAATTTGGACATTTTATGTTGACAATGAATCCGTTGAGTTAGTTGAGCAACACCTCGGGATTGCAAATGCATATACCTGAAATCTACGCAAAGTGTAGGATAATACAGATCAGTGGCGCCCACCCGATCAGTAGAACTGCTGAGTGTCACTTGTCCTGTTTGTGTTCTCATGATGCTCAAGAATGTAATGCCAAGCTGCAAAGTAGACTTCTCGTAAGGGAGAGGATTTTCAAGGAGGATGACCCTACGTTGTGCAAAAGAGTCCCAGGAACTGAAACTCCAAGCAATAGCTCTCCTCTCTTTCAACAACTACGGGATAAAATGACTTTAGCTCGACCAGCAATCATTTAAGATGTACTCTACACACCTAGTTGAGCGTCAGGCCACTGTAATCACGCAGAAAGATGAGTACAAGTCATGCTTTGGATTATTGGCTCTGGAATCTGCATCTTTTCTGTTGAACTGCATCAGGTTGTCCTGTTGTGAACTCATTCGTTACCGCTGATTGAGAGTCGAGGATAACTCCCAGTACAGGTTATGGATCGTGTTGAAACCTAGAAGGAAGTAGACATTCAGTTCATATATTTGGAAATTTACGGAGAAAAATTTCTCGTTCATACAACATCCCGGCTTGAATTTTGTCAGAGCACTTGGACTCTCCGTATTGGAGAGTGATTGCGTGGGGTTGATTCACTATAAAATCCAGCATTCAAAGATTATGCAAATACTTGTTGAATGAACGTCCACGGACTCTTCTTTAAATGATGCAATCAGATTACTCTTGAGTATTGCAGAATCGCAAACAATAGGTGGAATCACCGTACAAATGGCATGAGCCTTAATGTATTCTTTCAGTAGGTCCCACAAGTGCGTACGTGTCAAGCACTCTGTGTTCAACAGGTCAATAAAACACCCGGAGAGGCTAGGTCCAGATTCCAGGGGCTGCATCATCATGCTAGCATCGCTGTCGGACTTCTGCAGTAGAAGTTCGACACTTACAACTTCATCCACTCGAGACATCGATGAAGTAGTAAAAGACATCCACTCTCGAATCGTTTCTTACTGCAAGGGGAAGTTGACCGAAGAAAGCTTCTGACGAGCCTGAAGATTGAGAGTAATGCCCATGTGCATTAAGAGTGAGTAGATGAGCGGGAATCTCTGGATGACGGAACTCATCTTTTCTGAAATGTCCTCTTCTTTCAGCCCTTACATCCTGTCAGTAGATCCCTTGAAGTAGTCTTTGTGGGATTCCATGGGGTACCGCCAAGTTTTATAAAGTCTCCGCCGAGTGTGAGAACCCCACGGAGATTCTGGGCTTGTAGTTGGACGATATGAACGTGCATCTGACTCATGTGGTTTCGCGGCAACCGTTAACTCGTGTCTTCTCGTTCATCGATATTTTCTAATTTTTTAATTATCAGGGAAGATAAGGCTCATGAACTCATAAGGATCCCAAGGCCAATGGATCCTAAACACCAGCACCTGATTCCATACTCAGAAATGTATGTCTCTTAGAAGATAGTACGAGTACAGAGCACCTGCTTCTATTTCGTGCTGTGGAAGGGGAGTCTCCTAGTCAACTACGACATCGGGAGTTTTGATCACTTGAGAGAATCAATGCTCAAACAGTGATGCTGTGGAGATCGGTGAGCTCCTGGTGTTTGATTTACAGCTTGAATAGCTAGAAAGTTTCAAGAGCGTCTCAAAACTGTCTTTGTCTCTGTTTTACAGGCATCTTTGTGGGGAATATCGTAACCTTAAGCAACCGCCGGGATTGTCTGTTTAGGTGGACCTCATCCCAAGGTCTCTCGTCTTGCCGTGATACTTGCAAATCGAGTTGAGTAGACAAGAGTTGATGATGAGCCTGACGGAAGAAATTCTGGAGTCAGCCCGATTTGGGAGTTATTCACATGTTTGCCAATCACTCAAGATACTGCGCGCAAAATTAAGTGCAATTTGCTGACAGATAGTCATGATCTGTAGCCGATATTATTGCCACTCCGCTGTGTTTTTCAGTTTCAGTTTTTAAGCTGTCTTTTGAGTACCAGTAGCGCACAGACAGCAACATTTCAGATGGATATTCCCACATGCAATCGTATGCAGAAACCTTTCTGGCCAACGAGGTTCCTTGGCCTTGGCAATTCACATTATCGTGACGACTTCCAGTTCTATCGCACATTATATTCAATTTCTTGCAACACTGACATTGTTCAAAGGCTGAGCTCAAAGATCGTGTTGTCAATCCGCGGTAAGAGGGTGGACAATAAGATGAGAAATTGACCTGCAGAATATCGGTCCGATAAAGCAAGAACATGTGCACGAGGTGACTGAAAGCCTCCTGCCACTGCAGTTTCTTGTTCGCTCGAGCCTTTTGCCGCAGTAGTAAAGTTTGACTTGTTCTAGAGTAGTAGACTTGCAGTGACTTCCGCAGAAGTCTGGAAGATTTTTCCTTAATCGTCAAAGGGTGTCTAACTTTCCAAACTAGAAGATTTCAAAAATTTTCACTTTGTATTCTCTAGACAAAACTTTCTGAATGGGGCTTCCCCAAAGTATGCAATGTCTCGACATCCTCCCTTCTATTGTCGATTATTGTATGTAAGTCTTCATTTGTACAAATTGCATACACTACAAAAAAGTCCTTATTATGTTTTTTGCAGTTGAGTTTCTAAGATTCAATTCATTTCTTACAAATTGTATACACAGACTGCAGTATACACATTTATTATACTAGACTGGCATATACAAAAATTAATAAGGTATCAAATGAAATATGCATAAACTTGATTGGAACCTTTGAGAGAAAAAATAAACCCAAAATGGTACGAACATTTCATGAAGTATTATATGGATGAAACCATACAGTTAGACTTGTATTAGAATCCAAATGCATCACAATGTAAAGTATGTACTACATGAACATCTTGTCAAAACCATCTAAAGCTCCACAACTATCGAAAGAGTCATCAACTAATATGATTGATGTTCTATATATTGTATTTGTCAATGCTATTTCTACGACAACGCGTGTACTATAGATAAAATAAGTTACAACAATATCTCAAAAAAAAATGATTTACATGTACTTTATCGAAGTAAGCTTTTCTATCACTGATGTGTTGCAATTGGCATTAATAGCTACATGTAAAGTCAAAGCTAGAGTAAGAAAGATAAATATTTTTTGATAAAGTCTGCAATACATAGAGGTAGCTTCTATCTTGATCATAATCCTTATTCCTCTAATCCAAGTAGATTTTTATTTCTAGCTACAATCTGGAATATCTAATCACAACATTTTCATTAATGCTCTTGATTCCCAACTTTTGAGTAGGATATGAACTAAGATGTTAAACTATTCATTTCACACTTGTTAAATCGTAAAAATATAAAATAATCCACCATTAAACTGGTCTTTTCAAATTGATTATCAATCTGTCATATCTCATATCTAGAATTTGTAATATTCTAAATATGTTCAGTATATCTAGTTTTTTGCAAAATAATAATAAGTGTTAATTTTATGTTATAATTTGAGTGGATTACAAGACAAATCAATGCTTGTTTCATCATCTTGAATCATAACAAACATCACATCTTTAATCAATGTACAATTTATGTTGTTATATTTTAATATCTGGAGCAACAACAAGTTATATTGAATAATTGCTGCCAGAAATCTTTTACACTCATATATGAGTAATAAATACGAGTCAAGCACATCAAGATGATCTCATATTGTTCACAATGTCTTATATGGAGTAAATTGAGATTACCAATTATAAATTTCATGCTAGTGAGCTTTCTAAAGAGGTTATGAGAGAATTTTAATTATTTTATAGGCTGGACGATAACATCAGTCTTATGACAATTTGCTATTTCTTCATTCAACCAGATTTTTACCTTCGGCAAAAGTTGGCGTTGGTTCTTTAAACAATATATAAAAAGAAATACAATCATGAAGCTAAGAAGATTTAGAATGAGTATCCTATACCATAATAATAATAAGGCTGTTAGCAAAATGTGAGAGAAAAGAGAAATTATTTTTAAGAAAATATGGTTTTCATGTTATTACATCATCATCACTTCTTAATAAGCGAATAATATGTTTCGCGTGCAAAATTTATGTTTCGCGTGCAAAATTACAAGAACATAAAAAAGCACACTGCATGCAGACTCGACGTCAACAATATGTGATTTGCCTCTCACTACGGTGACTGAAACTTACATGACAATCTATTGTAAAAAAACTTGCGCAAGTTACGTCGTGTACTTCTAAATAGACCCTAAAATCCGAAATGTAGAGAAATTTTGAGCACTCAAAACCCTAAAATTTTCATCCAGCATGAAAACTTGATCATTTCTTTGATGACATCACCATATATGTAAATTGAGATGACAGTGGTGCTTCTTGGAATATCCAAGAAACATAAAGTTGAAACAAAAAATTCTCAAACAAGCTCTCCATTACATCGGAGGTGTTGAAAGCAAATGTAAAACTAGATATCCAAGAGAATAATATAATCACTCGCAAATGTAATCATAGTTCCCACTGGTTCCTTAACCTGCTTCAATCTAAATGAATCATCCAAATTTGTAACACCCGAAGCCACCACACACGGCTTCCATGACCAAGAAAAAAAAAGCAACCACAAACATCCGTTTTGGCGTATCGGACTCTTTTCACCTTGCAAACAAAGCATTAAATAAGTCTGAAAAATGCATTCCTTTGAGCAATTGCAAATTAACTGATCTCACGAGTGATCAACTACACTATTGTCTGAATCTTGTACGATTTGACCGTCCCATGATTTGCCTTCGAGTCAAATACACACGGAAGATTGCGTTCAAATTGCTACGACATGATCATCATTATTGCAGCAATCCTTCCCTAGTACTTCGTATTCTCTTCACTTCCTTCGCGTACCAAACCACTGCTCAATCATCTCTCATAGCAAACACACCAACCTCTAGTCATCTATTTCATCACTCTCGTATGTCTCATTTTGCGATAAGAGGAGCTTGCATTCTCAAGGTAAATTTAAAGAACAAGAAGAGAAATTTTGAGCACTACAAATCGTAACTTCTTTTCGGAGTTCCTTGTACTTTTCGTCTTACTTATTAATGCAATCTAATGTATGAAGCATATCATCGCGATCCAGAATTTATATGATTGATTGGTTCGGGATATTCTCTAACATTGTTTCATTAAAGATAATAAAAATATAGTTTATTGTAGAATATAAACCATCATGATATTAGGAGTGATTGTTTCTAATTTTGTTTCAAAATCTTAATCTTCAATTAGACTTTCATGGAAGTTGTAAATATATAAAAACTATGTGTGAAAAAATAAGTATAAAATATAAAAAAATATTTTGATTTTAAATCTAAGATATCAAGAAAAAAAATTATATCATCTAAAAAAAATTAAAATTAATAAAGTAAAAATACCATTGTAATTTTATTTTTATTTTTATGTGTGTACTTAAAATTTTATTGTTTAGTTCCACACAAATCTTGATTTATCATCAATCAAATGATACATAGTATGACCTTGCAAAGAATGAAGTTTCAATAGAAAGTGTCAAACATGATGCATATATTCAAATAACTTTTTGTAGTATAACAATATTCACATCCTATTTTTTTGAGATCTTTCCGATCATCATTCTTGAAAATGAAGTATTTCGACATCAACATTTTGTTCAAACACATAGCTTCCAATTTGCTTTTGATTTGTAATCTCCAAAGCAAATAATCATAATTTCTATCATATTTGACAGTGTAGTATCTTGTTACTCAAAATTTCATGCAAATCATTTTTGGTCAATCACACTATTGAATTTGTCACTTGTGTCGTATCTTTCAATACTACTTTTTTTTATCTAATTTAAGTCCTTTGGATATATTGATATTCGGATTATTGATCAACTTCCTTGCTACCTTACTTACTTTGATTCCTTCATTTAAAGCTTCTAAGTAAATTTAAAGCACATGTACGGAGTGAAGTTGTTGCACATGTGAGTACGGCAACCATAGACGATGATCAACTCGTCAAACGGCAATTCACAACACATTGCGATCATCTGGTTGCACAAGTTTTAGCGGTACGCCAGCCACATTCATTTATGATTTAGCTGATGAAGCAAATGTGTGTGTGCCTTGCGGATGATAAAAGCAATGTGCGACGCCTTCTCGCACTTGAGCTTGACTTGGATTTGCCCCAAAAAGAACGGGCATTTATTAGAAATCAACATGACAATTTGGACAGAACATCCCTTGATGTTGCTTGCCGCGTCAATGAACATTTTTGCACTAGTCCATTTGTGGATCACAATAAAAGTCATCCTTGATTTGTAGTCAAATGAGGCGTCGAGGAGACGTCTAGCAATCAACTTTGGCATGGGCATGGAATAGACATTGCACGACAGGGTTGAAATCGCCTTCATGTGATCTTGATTGTTGCAAGTGTTGAAAGCTTTCTTGTTTCGATGAATGCTGAGCGCAAAGTGCTTGTCAACCTCGCTACTCTTCTATGAGATCATCAAATAGGGCTCGCCATGAGTCTCTTCACAAAAACCGAGTTGGCGCATGCGCTTTGGATTAGACTCAAACGCAACTGTCGACCAGCGCCAGAGACTGGAAGAAGAGGTAATAGCAATATGCAAAGGTCATGGATCAGAAGACAGTTCATTTGAATCGCTGCCATGAACGATCGTCTGAGAACAAATGTTGCCATTGGCATCAGCCAATGGCAACATTTGTTCTCGTGAAGCACCATCAGGAATGCTCAAACACTACGATGCGATCAAACTGCGGGATAGCTCATACCGACAAGAGTGATTATGCGATTCGAAGGATGTTGAAACGATAGAAACATCGACATCACATTTGTGGCACTTGACGCGCTGTCCACAAAGTGATTTAAAAAAAAAAACCTTGTTGAAACCCGTCCAAGCGTGCACTTTCTTGTGTGTCATGAAGTTGCAGACTCGTTAGTACCGTGTGGTCGGTGTTCACACGTCAAAAACTCTTTAAAAACTCCTCACGTAATTATAAATTAATCTAAGTAGTAGATAATCTTACATAAGACTTAAATAAGCTTACTTACTTAGTTATCATAGATAAGCCATATGAATCATCCTTAAGCCCTTTGAATCCTTAATGGGCACACATGATCCATTCAAGATCATGCTTTTTCCTCCATCATGACCCAACACATGTTTCTGATCTCCAACACCGACTGGAAGCGTGAAAGACTTGGCGAGCTCCCCTACTACAAGAGTGTACATCACCTTGTTTGACTCCTTATTGATGAATTTCTTAAAGCATTATGTGATGATTATATGAAGTATTCATAATATTCATAATATCAAAATGAATAGAAATATAATTTATTTAGAAACTATTTGAGTTTGTGATAGATAAATTTGCTCTGTCTCTTTGCATAGCGTTTCAATGAAAGAATTTTTTTTTTAATTTATTCAACATATACACATTATATTTAGGTAGCGGTTAGTTATCTCTCATTTTAGATTCGCCGTGGACATCTGAGCTTTCCATTTAGAATTCACTCTTTTCTTTGTTGATGCAATTTTTGATGAAAATCCAAAGTAAAAGAGGGCATTGAAAGGCTTGGTCTTGTTCATGTACTTCCGCCATGTAATTGAAACCAAATGCAAAATAAGACGATGCGATGTAATAAATCTAGAGTTCAATGGCTACAACAGAACCTTTCAAGTTATTTTGTTTCACTCTAACCAATCACATAATTCCCTTTTATAGATTATTGTAAGATGAGGAATAATTAACCTAAACTGAAGTATAACTAGCCGCACACTATATCTATCTTGCAACATCAATCTATTAATATTTGAAAATTTTGAACAAATTTACATTTTTCAAGTACCAATTTTTTTTGAATGTTTTTATATTTTTTCAATTTTTAACATGCTTGATTTCAATCAAATTTTAGCATGTATAGTCAATAATATTGACTATATGTCATCATAATATGTGAAAGTTTTAAATCAAGATTACACATAATAAATATGCACTAGAAAAATTAAACAAGGTATATAATCTTGTGTTGCATCTACTATTTCAAACTATAATATTTGTTTTTATTCTAATTTATTTTGAAAAAAAATTTGTTCCAAATTTAGCAAAATTTTTAAATTACAATTTTTTGTGGCATAAATAATTGCTTTAAAATTCTATTCAATTTTATTTTATTTCCGATTTTTAAAATAATGATCATGTTGATGACTTGTATGTATGCTACTTAAAGTACTATCACTTTCCAGGTTAAAATAGCCATCTTTCTTTCATACGGAGGCTAAGTGATAAAGCAGCATATAATATAAAGACATGAAAAATTGACAATTTTACACAACCGTATGTTGAGATAATAAAAAAATACTTATGCAACAAATCACGCTCTTCAGAAGTATCCAAAGTTCATGCATGTACCTAACACTATGAACACAATAATATACAAGTAGTAGTTGTACAAACGCCCTATATGAAATTCGTCCTAACCCAGCCAGTGCTGGGGTCGGTCCCTTGGACTAACTCCATTCGCATGCCTTCCTTCATAAAATCCTTCGTAAACTCTTTCGGAGTGAGTCGACGTGGGGACGCGATACTCATGAACTGTGAACTGCCGGCTCACCAGACATTCAACATTCAGGCTATGTTCATCCAATGTAATGAAGCCATAAGACCTGCTGGTGGACTAATGATGAAACTTCGGTGTATTTTAACCACATACATATGCTTCCTGTGTACATAAACTGAACAATTTCACCAACTTCATCTATTCCAATAATGTAGTGTGCACGTAGAAAGCAAAAAGAATAAGGACCCGGGCGGTTTCGCCCGTCATCTACTGCCGGTTCCAATACCGATTTGTGCTATATTCCGCGGGATTTCCCTCTTTACCGCAGGAGAGCACAGTCCACGAACCGGAAGGATTTCGATCTTACCGGGAAGGAAGAAGTACACCGGGTAAGAATACAAGGAGGAAAGCGGCGAACTGTGAAGAGTTCAGGAATCAGTGAAGGAAACCTTCGGGGGAAAGTAGCCGGGAAATCACGAGAGTGGAGGAGAAACGGGAGGAAATCTGGCGGAGGAGCCGCGAACAGGAAGATGTCTGCCGGCTAGAACAGAAAGGTGCGGGGCGACGCTGTCCGAGTCAGTGACAGACATGGAGGATGGAATCCTGGAAGGCGGGGCCTGTAGGGCTTGGTCGTCGTCCAATGCCCTTGACACTCAGCATAAGGAAACTGTCGACCATCGAGAGACCATGCAAGAAGCTGGCAATGTAATGTGCTCATAGGACCTGGACAGAAGGGCTGTGTAGACAATTTAAAGGCGAATTATTATTTTGAATGCCTGATATCCCACCGATTCCCACGATCGAGCAAGAAAGACCGAAAAAGATCCGACCCGCAGCTAAAGATCAGGGGATTGTAGACCACTAAACGAATATGCTCAGCGCTTTTTCTCACCAATGCGTGCTTTGTCTGCTATTTATAAGGCTTCCATGGAAGAAGGCCACGACAGGTGTCCAGACGCTAGATGGCTTCCAGAAGGTGGCCGCTTATTTGCAGAGAAGAGTATGGCAGGTCCACTGCACAGGATGCGAATGGTTCACGCCTGGAATTGTGTGCGGATGCGTGGGGTTTGTTCCGAGGAAGGGACGTACGTGTTGGTTCTTGAATGCCTGCCAGCTTTGATATTAGCTAGGAGAAGCCGGGTATGAGGAGGACGACCGCCCCCACAGGGAGGAGTATGACTTCGAAAAGCGTATAATAAACCGAGATGTGCAAATTGAGGGAGGAAGAGGAGAGGGAAGAGGAGACAAAGGCTCAATGACAAACCTATAAACCTCGAGGGGACACCAAAGCACATGTGCATAAGTTCTCAGGTGGTCAATCGCTACCCTCGCCACAGCTTTGGATAGTTGGCGAGTGGAGCGTTCCTGTTATTGTCTTTACATAATATCATCGAGACTGATCTTGTCGACATCGAAAGCCAGAAAGCTCCAATGCATGTATAACTAGATACAGTATTACGAATTTCCTTGCTATCGTTCTGCAAGGTGTTCGTTCATTGGGCTCTTTCATGTAGGAAATCAGCGTGGCGAGAACTCTTCGTTCGGAGGGTACGAGTTGAGAGTATTAGATCAGGTTCAGCAGGATAAGACTGCAGAACTACATGGTTCATATTTTCGTTCTGAAGGGGGAATTATGTCAAGGATTGAAATTGGCAGATCGGACGGTTCGATCAACGAGATTTCTCATCTGGATTCAGAGATTTGTGTACGAGAGAGGTGTGTTCTAGCTGTTGGAATTTGCAGATGATTCTCAATGATTCGGCAGGTTGGCGATGACGGCAGTCCAAGCAGCTCAGACTGCCAGTTAGCGCTCCACATCTCTCTGAAAATCCAACTCAACGAGTACGGCTTAAATTGTGGTTAGATTGGACTTATCTTTGCCGTAAGGATGGCACCCTGGTGGTGGAAGGATGTGAGGATGCGGAGCTTGGTGCTCGTGTGCTTGGCTTCCATACTGGAGAGAGCAGATGAGGCTCTTTTACCCTCTGTTTACAGAGAGATAGGTATAGCACTCAATGCAAGCCCATCTGCGCTGGGTAGCCTCACACTTGTTAGATCCCTAATGCAGGCTTTGTGCGCACCATTAGCGGGTTTTTTAGCCCAACATTACAACAGGGCAAGCATAATTGCTGGTGGAGCTGTCATGTGGGCTGTTGCCACTTTCTTTGTCGGAATTTCAGAAACCTTTTCCGAGGTTGGTCATCTTTCTTGATCTCGTCAACTGTTTAAACTCATCTCTACTTTTTACTTATAAGTGATAAGTCTTAAAATGTGTATGAAAACACTGGACTGTCTCATATTTCAAGTATTTAGCACCATGTAGTCAAAGGAATCTTGGACTAGGAATGTGCCAATCTCTTCCATCAGAAGAGAATCAGCTGACTGACAAGCTGATGACACCTCATTTCTTGAGAATCTGCATAGTATACGTTCTTCTACACCTTTAGTTGCTCCTTCTCGTCGATTCCAGAAAGAAGGATTGACTTTGATGCTGGTGGATGCAGGTGGCTCTATCCAGGGCACTGAATGGAATAGGTCTAGCGGTAGTGGTCCCTTCTATACAGTCAATGGTAGCAGATGCAACAGACGAAACAAACCGAGGCAAAGGTTTTGGTTGGCTCATGGTGGCTGGAAACGTTGGATCTATGCTGGGTGGTTTTTTTGCTGTTCTCATGGCGAGCACAGAAATTTTAGGCATTGACGGATGGAGGATGGCATTCCATTTAGTGGCCTTCTTGAGTATGATAGTTGCAGGTCTTGTGTACTCATATGCAGTCGACCCTCAATTCTCCGGAACTCTTGTCTCCAAGTAAGTTTGCATTGTTTGAGGTATTATATTTTTTTTGTAAGTTCACATTGAAAAGCTAAACCATGTTTTCTGAAATTCAGCTCTACGTGTTTTAATCTAAGTGTGCAGTAGGTAAGTCTGGCTTGTCCAGTTACAATACTGTGACGTTTTATGAACATTTTACAAACTATGGAAGTTTTTCTGAACTCTTTGAGCTATATTGATCATAGGGCATTCAAAGATCGAACTTTTATGGACAACTTGAAGGAGATATGGCTCGATACAAAAAGCGTGTTACATGTGAAATCCTTCCAAGTGTTCGTAGCACAAGGCGTTGCTGGGTCATTTCCTTGGGCTGCACTTGCATTTGCCCCTATGTGGTTGGAGCTTGTAGGATTTTCCCACACAATGACTGCTGCTCTCATGGGCTGCTTTGTTGTGGCTTGTTCTATTGGAGCTCTTTTTGGTGGTTGGGCTGGAGATCGTTTGTCCATCAGACTTCCTAATACAGGTCGAATTATGCTCTCACAAATCAGTGCTGGTCTAGGGGTTCCCCTTGGAGCAGTCCTGCTTCTTCTCCTTCCTTCGGATCCTTCGACACCAGTAGTTCATGGATTGGCCTTCTTCATTATGGGACTATGCATATCTTGGAATGGTTCTGCTACTAATGGGTGATGCTGCTTACACCTCCCCTTATGATTTTTTAATTTTTTAACTTGCTTAGGTTAGTATGGACAGGTGTTTTAGTTTGTTCACTCTGTAATATTGTATTGTTTGTTACGATTGCAAGGTTTGTGAATCTTGACACAAGGACTAAAAACTGTCAACAAGTATATCTTACGGAATGTATTGTTTTGTACACAGGCCTATTTTTGCGGAGATTGTTCCGGAAAAGTCCAGAACGAATGTGTATGCGTTGGATAGAGCTTTTGAGACAGTTCTTGCATCGTTTGCCCCTCCCATAGTTGGCCTGCTCGCCGAAAATTTGTATGGTTATGTTCCACCTCCATCAGGTGATGGTAGATTAGCTACTGACAGGTCGAATGCCGTAGCGTTGGCCAAAGCACTTTATACGTCAACCGGCATACCATTTGTTTTGTGTTCTTCTATCTACACACTTCTTTACTGGACGTATCCTGATGATCGTGACAGAGTTCGTGAGTCGAACATGCAATTCCAATCAGATACCCACATCCGACTGGATGTTTTCAATTCCAAAGATTCACAGCATCAGCCACTAGAAGATGTGGAGGATGTAGAAGATGAGCAGAGGAAGCATGATAGTGACAACGTTTCAAGGGACGTTGCAGGTGAGACTGTTCGAATGCTGCCTAAGGATGATCAGCTTTGAAGATTATTTAAGGTAAGAATATTTTTATTCGAAGGAAATGATCTCCTGCATGCGGATTCCTAGTATTATCAATTTTGTTTTCTTGATGTAGATTTAAGAAGATTGAATCGCTGGTACAGTCAGCGCAATTTTATGAAATTATTGTCCATATCGTTCTCATTGTCGATGCGTACTTCGATAGTTTCACAATAAGCACTTTTCCTTTAGCTATAATCGAAAAATACCTAGACTTTACTAGCGAGTCGATGTTTTTACTCAAACAGTCCATTACTAACAGTTTAGCTTATGTTGTGCAGTGAACTTTGAAGTGTTGGCATCCGTTTTCAGCTGGTGTATCTTCGAGGGCTTGTTTGACTTCTGTACATTGAATCCGCCATTTTTTTTTGTAAAGTACTGAATTTTTGGCCATTTTACGAAAGAGACTTTTTGCATCTCTTTCGGAGTCAATTTGAACAGGAGTGAGGAGTAAACAAGTGCCTTATGTAAATGAGGTCTTGTTTGTCGATGTCAGTCATTCTCTGCTTTGAAGAGCAAGATCTGTTTACAAATCAATCAGAAACTACGAGCAGAAAGAGAGGGTGTTGAGCCTTGATGAAAGGAAGCAGATAGTGTATAAAATAAAGGTCCTCAAGTTCTATCTATTGAATCTTAATTATCAGCCCCTTCTCTTTTGAGTCTTGCAAGGATAGATGTTCAGAAAATTATATCTGACGTTTTGATAGGTGCCTTTTTCATCAAAGGCTAAATCTCGTGCGGTTGTGGATGCAACCAAGCCATGACATAGGGCAACAAATCCCATGTCATAGAGAATGATCTATAGGGACTTCAACAGTAGTCTAAACAACAGGCAGACTGATTATTGTGAAAATGATTTTAGGCAAGAACATACCACCCACTGGAGTCCCCATTCACCTCTTGTATGTGGTGGCCACTCCTTAGATGCATCGGACTGTACTGGTTAAGTACAATCGACAATGGTAAAGAGAGGAAAATGTTAGGATCTAAACTCCTGGATGTACATAATTTATAGAATCTGTGCAAACTGCTGTGGATGTACAGCGGGTCAGAAGTCTCATAGATCTTGAAATGTACCTGTCGTATTGTGGATGTTCTCCTGAATGTGTTACTTCAGGTTAAGTTACGACCCTTCTATTTTTTGTGAGCACATGTCTTTCTAGCGCTTAATGCGTAAACTCTGTATCTTAGTCACTCAAACCGATATGATGCAGAATGGGGATAATTAGTGTTGGAAAACACAAGAACATTATTGAAGGAGAGAGGCTTTAGGTTATTCAGAAAATGTTTAGCACTTAGCACTAACAGAACTTAATATTTTTTTGAATTTAAGTGTCTTCAATATCTAAAACTACTGGTTTGTTGTGTGTTCCTATCATTCACGAGATTGTTGATAACGGTTTGCATTGAATGTGGCTGCGTGTATGGAGTATACGATTGGTGAAGCATATGGACGATTAAGATTATACAGAGTTCATGAGCTTAGAGATAATGAGGTTGGCATTCGACTTGGCGTGCTTTAGGCTATTGCGTCAATATAAATATTTATCAGGTACAGGAACTTTGTTTGAACTATATACCACTTCAATCGAAAAAGTTGTTCATGTGAATTTTTTCTTGAACGTACATGTATGATTATTTCTTTTCCTTAAGTCAATCTCTTACGTCTTTGTTTATGTATTTATCTTCTCATTGATTTTCGATCTTGGAGAACTCTCTATCTCCAACTGGGCGTTCCCCACAATCGAACTTGGGATCTCTTGCACCTCAAGCAAGAATTTGACCACTAAAATTATTTTATTGCACTAGTAGTCCAATCGCAGAGTCAATTATCCTTAGGCCAGTACAGGCGAATATCACATTTTACAATCTCTGCTTTCTTCATGTGTTTGCTAAGAAAGCAAGGAGTTTAGTCTTGCATATTGCTTGTTATTGGAATCTATATTCACTTCCATATTTGTAGAGTCCCAAGTGTTATTAATCGTAGTATTTTGCGGGGAATTCAGAATATGGAAACGTGATATTTTATTCAGATGATTCTACTCGTTTATTTCACCAACATTCTCTTGAATATGCATCTCGCGTTAGATAATCTAGCGGAATATACAGCGGTAAATTTCTTATATTGTTCAGTACAGCAGCCGTTTAGAAACATAGTCTAGCAAATTATCTTGGCTTGATGTTCTAGGAACATATTTTATCGTTATGGCTCTCATTCCGTTCAGGTCGCACAAGTAGATTTGTTTGGATATAATTAATGTTGCGTGGGATACTGCTTCTTATCCAGCAGCTCTCAGTGTGCTAAAGGTCCTGCAAGAGCTGTTTTGCTTAAAATTAGTGTTGAAAATAGTTTTCTTCCATGTGACATTATCGGATGGAGAAGAGGTACATTCCTTGCATACTTCCTAGTTCGGGTCTTCAACCTAAGGCAAGGACGAGCGGTCTTCCTAAGAAGTCTTCTAGTTCTAGAGACATTATTGTTACTCTGACTACCTGCGTATTCTTCTTGAATAACTTTTAGGATCTCAGCCTGTAATTCTAGGTGTTCAAGCGTAGTATCTAGTACACACTAGCAGAGTAGAAAGACTCTTTTCACACTATCTAAAGGAAACGCTTTGGATCAGGTTATCGAATCGATAATGAGAAAAGACTCTTTTCATACTGAGCTGTATCAAAAGGAAATTATGAAAGCATGCACGATGTACCCGGTGGAATATTCCTGGTCAGTGAACGGATTCTAAATGAGCTGTATAATCTCAGTGGAGGTGGTGTTACGAAAAAATCATTTGCATCTTCGATTTGATTACCTAATTCAAAGCTGAATGCACTAACTGGAGTGTACAGATGCTGTGGCGAGCACACTGCAGATCATGGGCGCAAGAGGCTAATGGCCCATACACGACATCTGTACCTACTTAGATTTCATACAAAACTATTGCTCAAAACTAGTGAGCAGATGTCATGCGATTTCATGCACCTTCACATGATTGATGACATATGCAGCATTCAACTGGTTCATTAGAATGAATGTGAGATACTATAACGAGGTGATGGGCAGGTGACTACATTGTCAGACACGTGACATCAAAGTGTGTTGATATGGTGGTCAAGTTTAAGGGAGGCAAAACTAGCTGAAAAGTCAGCTGAAAATGAAAGTAATCTCCTAAATGCAGCATTCAACTGCTTCAAAAGAGTGAATGTGAAATACTATAATGGTGTGATGTGCAGGTGACTACATGGTCAGATACGTGACGTCAAAGTTTGTTGAACTGGTAGTCAACTTAAATAGTTGAAAGTCAGCTTTAAATGAAAGAAATATCCTAGTTTGTGCAAGCCAAGCGTCGGAAGCCTATACAAAGTAGGAAGTCATTGACTCCAAGTACACATTCTCGGAGGATATTCTATTCACGGTAACCGAGCAAAAAGATGTGAAAGTCAACTAGGTGCATGTAGTACCTTAAATAGTAGATGTCAATATTATCATGATACACAAGATATCGATTGATACGGAAACAAATAATTATTATACACACTATGTTTTTTTATTTTAAAAAAATATTAATGATCTGTAGAGTATTCACTACATATTATTTGATGTAGATTTCATATATTGATAAAAAAAAGTAGAAACATCTACTATACATGTACATGTAATTGAAAGCTTTGACAAACTTGTTGAAATACACATTATTTACATAGAGTTTCAATGGTAGAAAAGAATAATATAAAAGAATCAACATAGTTTATTATCTAAAAAATTTTGGTTATTAAAATTTATGAAATTAAATGTGATTTAGGATGAATCACAATTAAACCCACTTCAAATCATTATATTTTGAACAAAAACTTTATTTTTTTAATTATTATGAGTCAACCTCTCCATATGTGAATTATCTGTAGAGGTGGTAATGAAAAAATCACATCTTAATAGCGTCATGAAGAGTTAACAACATTCTATCAATACATTTTTCATGTAAATTAATTAAAAAGTTATTCTTGATTAATGAATATGTAGATGAATGTATCAAATCAATAGATAATTTCATTATCTTAGAATAAATGAATGTTGCAAATCAGTTGATTGTAATATAAAGAAAAATGAGTTGGAGTATAATAAAAATAACATATTTAACACGTAAAATGACAACCAATTTTGAATAAATATAGAGCACGTTGTTGATACATAAAAAAAATTAAGTTTTTGTTCAATTGGCAACAAATAGAGTGTTATACCCTGTTTTAAATGTATTTTGTAAGACATTAAAGTACCCATAACAAATGAATTATTTCACATCTTAATGTAATTTCAATGTAATCTAAAAATTAACAATTACATAATAGTAAAGATGTTCAAAATCTCAAACTAAAAAAATGATGTGGGAAATATAGCTGATTACAAACATTGTGATAAGATTTGATGTCAATGCAAAATTGCTATAGCAACTGTGATTGATATGTAACTGTCTGTTACTCATCTGGTAGGACCACCTTGCACCCCATGCAAACACCTTGATGTATATGCCTAAACCTACAATATAATATTGGGCTGGAAGTCTAGTCATGAACCCACTTCTCGTCCGAAATTACGTGAGCTAATCTTTTTGTGTTCTTCAATCGAGAGATAACCACCATAAGCATGCAGGTTAAGCCTAAGAACTTGTTACGATACAATATGGCATTGAACTCGAAGATAAAATTGCTCTTAGTTGTTTACTGAGAAATTGAACAATTTGAAATTTTACAATTCATAATCATGATTTGTTGTTAGGAAGATTGCTAGGTTCATTATCCAGCGTTCAGCGCGAGGTTCAGTGGATGAGCTTGAATTTCTCACGCGAGTTAAAGTTGGAAGACTGCTAGATTACATTTGAGGATATTCTAGTTTTCCCGTCTAGGAAGAGCTTCTGTCGATGGGTGTTGAGAGTATTGAACAGAATATGTAGATTTTCTAGCACAATGTATTTTTTATAACAAGATTTTGAATATTTTCATTGTATATACCTTATCAATCATATTTTTGGTCTTTGAATTGCTTTGTCCCGTCTGCCTTTTTTATTCTCCAATGATGATGATTGATGTCTAGTTTTCAATTCATATGCCACCTCGTGTGAATCATGCGTTTCATTTGGACGGAGGAGATATTTGCCTCTACCTTTTTCATTCGAGCATTTTGTCACGTGTAAAGCATGAGTCAAGTGAAAATAAACATATAAAACATGTCAATCTTTTCGCGTTTATAGTTTCTGACTCAGCTTCCCAGGTACAACTCGCAGTTTCAATCAGCGTCCTGACATCACATTGAGTCTTTGTGAATTATGTAAAATAGTCCTACCAAGAATGTTGAGGAACAGTCGTTTGCTTGAGTACACATACATATATCACCTGTATAATAAGTTTCAATAGAATGTGAAGTCGCAAGGTTTGTCAATATAGCTGTCTACATTGTTACCAGGTCACTGATTCTGTACTTTACAATAAATACCGTCAAAACTGGATTTGACCAAACTTTGGTCAGATCCAGTTTTGACTTTGATGTGTGCCACATGGCAGAAAACTTTGTTGATAAAATGGAGACGTCAGCATCATATAAGCGTAACATGTATTTTGCCAAGGCAAAGCCTTGTATGTCTGACTGGCTTACTGTATCACGAAAGTACTTTTACAGTAAACACCCCACTAAGTCGAGACTATGTATTCTGCCGTATCGTGTAAGTAAAATCTCCACATATAGATGTACTGGTGTTTGCCACCCTACGGACAGACCGAGAGGGCCCGCCACATGCTGTGACTAGTCTTGGGAAGGAGCATTTCTATCTCCTGCTAATTTAAGCTGGCTATCAAAATTCTATTCGCCTGCCAAATAGTGGCAGATCAGCAATGGTTTGCTTATGATTTGTCCCACGAGACACTAATCTTAATTTGACGTGGCATGCCGAGCTATCTCTGAAAGAACGTGTGGTTCACATACTCCTCTGACACATAAGTTTTGGAACATGGGGCACTTGTCACAAAAAATGTACACAAAAAAATGTAATGCCAACACTACATACATGAAGATGGATGGGTAAGACACCTTGAGTATAAATTAGAAGTATTCGCAGGGGGGCTCCGTCAAGATAACAAAATGTTGAAAACACTATTTTGGAGTCAAAATGTCAATTCAAACATGTAGAAATGTGACTTAGGTCTACTCGAATAGCATAGCAGTGAAAACTTGGTGTCAAACAAAGTGAAAAAAATGAATGAGTATACACATTCATCATCTGATTCAATGCATCTACCTGTGATATTATCTAGCCATTGTCATACTTTTCATAAAATATAATACATACAAGTTGAAGACATTGTAACCATATAGTACCTTGGGCTCTTGAGCATTCATTCACATCAAAACTAGAGTATCAAATAATTGACATCTCTTCGTGTTTATTTATTGAGAGATCCGGTTGTTGTTGGCACACTCTCTTTCCCTACGATCGGATGGACGATCATACTTTTTGAAATAATTTCAGTCGTAGAATTAATAACCACAATGTATGCTTCAATAACCAAATGGATTTATAATCTTAAC